TTTATAAGGTAATGCAGTGATTTGCAATGCAGTCTAACTCAAACTGCCTGCTGGCAAACAGTCTGACTGAAACCCTGGGAAAACCAGACCAACACTATGTGCCCTGTAATAGAAAATCAAAATATAGTTCTAGAGGCTAATTCTGACCCCAAAAGCTTTTTTGAGCTCTTTCATAATGTTAATAATTTTTTTTCTAAGTCAGGACCATTTTAGGTGGAGGTACAACCTGACCTGCAGCTTGCAGTTATTCGGAGGACTTTCAATATCTCACTGACATTAAAACTGACACTTCGTCTGAGTATTCCATCCTATCAGGAAACAGCAAATCTTTAGAAGAGAAACCTCAGATCTTGATCGTCACCCATTTGCAGGAATTATGCTAAAAGATTAGAAGGGAAAATTTGCTCTTAAAAATTCAAAAAAGTGCAATCTTGACTTTCCGTATTTTAAGAGCGGGGCTGAAACATTAGTTGGTTGACTTAAGGTAATATTTTAACCAGAAAGCACAAGAAAAGAAACATCCTAATTGACTGAAAATCCAGCTGTGGACTTAAAATAGAATTTTTAAAAGTCGCATTTTTCACGTTACTAAGTTCAGCGCTGTCTGGTCTTTGAAGAAATGGATTGGCTCGGCAGGGCCGGAGCGCTCAGCATTCACACGGGAACTCTCCTCTGCTGTCAACTGGCCCAAAAGCCTGCCTGTGAGACTGACCATGTCCTGGGCAGTCTTAATATTAAACATATCTGCTAAGGCCACCTTTGTGCTGGAAGGAGAGGCTGGGAGATGGAGTTTTTAATATTTTTGTGGATGCTTGGTTCTGTTTTAAAATGTCTTTGCCTTTGCCGGAGAGGTTTTCAAAGCTGAGGAAAGAATCTGTGAGCTGGATCCATTCCATTTTAGTAGTAATTAAACTCTCTCTTCCTAAAGGCCCACTCTAACTCTTAATGAAATAAACAGCATAGCTCCCATTGCCTGTAGAAAGGCAGGATCCAGTTCCACCTACTTAGGGTTCTTCCCAGGAATGCTCCTAACTGAATGCAACAGCGGCAGATAGAAATCAAAGTGGAGCAAAGTGTTTGAAATTATTACCTCTCGCAATAAGATTACTCTGTGCCACATTTTCCACTATCATTCCCTTAATGGAAACTCCAAAACCCATACCCACTGTCTGTTACATTGGCTTTCTGTCCTTACACCAGCCACCACACTCGTTGATGTCCACATAACACCCACCTCGTAACTACATACATTAAAATCCTGCAGGGCCAAGTGCTTCAGGGATCCTGAAATGAGTCCCTGCTAGCACTAACTTTTCCACCCTCCAGGCCTTTACCCTACCCACTGAACTCTCCCCCTGTTTCACTGCTGCCTCATGACTCACTGCTGAACCATTCTGCCTGTGCAATGCAGCAAACCAAGCTCAAGCCGTTGAGTCCCAAAACCCTCCTCGCTCAAAAGCGGTACAGTAGCAACGTTCTAAAATTCAGCTGGACCTGTAGGGCCTCTGGCTTCCCTTAGAACCAATACTCATTGGAAAAAATGCTGATTTGGTGAAATCAAGACATTCCACAAAATTGTTTTTGCTTCTTTTTTTCTTTATGAAGAAGAAAAAAAAAAAAAGAAGAAGAATTGTTTCAACCTGAAACCTCTCTCGTTTCCTGACAGCTCATCTATCCAGCACATTGACAGCTCATCAGGTGGAGAGAGGCATCCAGCATCTGCAGTTTATTACCCAGATGGAGCCAGGGGACCTCAGGCTTCCAGCTGATCACTGGAAAGCTCTGTAGTAAGACAGTATTTATCTCAATTTAGAAGCTTCACAGGGACAAGGTTCTACAGAGGGTGAAAAATCAATGCAGCTCAACAGAAATTAGCAAATGCCAAGGCAGCTTTGGAGAGATTTGGCCCTTCTTTTGAAATATTTGATTAAAATAGGCTTCCACATCCCAAACACTGCACTGCCAAAGTTGAACATCAACTGCATGAATGGCTATGTGGCAGGATGTGGAAAACTACTTTGTGTTAATGATTTTCTGCTCTGATCAATATTCTACAGCATCCCCATGAGCAAGTTAGTGTTTCACAGGAGATAACACGGGGGAAGCAACAAGTGTGGAATCTCCAGGGCACTGCCAGGTTCCATAGTGACACAATCCCCTCCTGCAAGCATTTAGAAAGGGGCCTGAAGGAAAATAATAATAATAATAATTGCACAAAACACATGCTGAAAAATCACACTGTCCTATGAAATGAAGCATTTGATCACACATGAGAGAGCCAAAGAACTCCAGCGAATCTCTTCAATCAGCTTATGGCTGTTTATGTCACATAAGGACATGATCAGATGTCTGACTCTCATTTGGTATTTTTAAAAGATACAATGGTGTATAAATCCCATGATTAAAGCCATTGTAAGGTGTTTCATAATTGTGCTCTCTCTTTATAAATCATGTGACCTAAACCTGGCTATGTTTTATAATAATTTTTTATTCAGTTACCAGGCAATGATTCTCTATTTGTCTGCCTGTACAACTGGAAGGTTTTCAAGGGTTTCTCTTCTTCAAGTCTTTCTGCCTGACTTCATTAAAATCCTGTGATGTTCTGCTGATAAGCCAGAAAAACCTCCATCCTGAGCAGCCTGTCCCACCTGTGATTACAAACCTGTGTTCCTCTTTCCACTGGGACTTCACCAAGGCACCCACTCGTGGGGTGAAAGTGCCCAAAACCCAAGCCCACAGTGACCACAGATCTATCCAGACACCCTCTGCTTGCCCAGCAACCACATCTGACTTTTCCCATTCATTTTCCTAGTCCCACAAGCCTGTTCTGGGTGTCTGATCACTTAGTCTGTACCTCCTTCTTTTAAGAGGTCTGGAAGAGAATTAAGAATAACAGAGACGTAGTTCACTAGGATGAGTGTGGAAAATGTCTTTGGCACTGTCAAAAACAGCTGTTAAAATGAATATATTTAACAAAACCTTATCTCTCTTGGTGGCATGAAACACTAGGCACTTTATCCCGAAGGTTTTCTCTCCTCTCATTTTTTTTTTCTGAATCAATTTTCAATTCTGCTATTTAAAGATGGTTTCAAACTGTTTCTGTCTGTAAAGTACCACATAATTTTTCTTCCTGAAGACAGGAAGCATCCTGCTCCAGAAACCTCTTCTGCTTGTGTACTGTTGGAAATTGGATAAAGGGTTAAATATCTGGGCAGTGGGGATTGTACAGAACAGGCCCAACAAGTCAGCAAAGCCCAGTCTTTTTTATTCTTTTACACAAGCAATACAGGAAGGGATTGATAATTAGAAGAATAACAAAGAATCTCAAAATCCAGGAATAGAGAAGCTTATGAAGGCAATCACGAATTAAAAGTTCAGAGCCCAAGTTCTTAGTTCTGAAACTAGAAGACAGTTGGGGGAGAAGGGACATCTGTTCCTGGAACAAAAGGCCAAGAGGGACAGGAGGGGGGGAGTTCAGCTAGTTGCAGCTCCCTCTGAGCTGCCACATAAGTTTGTTTTAGCCTGATCTGATTTTTCGCTCTCTTTGGAAGATGCATTTGACACTGTGCTTGTTCTCCTTTCTGTCACTGCTAAACCCTTTTTACTCCTCTGCAGAGAAAAGCTCAGTCACTGGATCTGTCGACTCCTTCTCCCATCTCCTCCCCTCCCCTCTGACCCTCGAAGCTGAGACATGAAGTTACATTTCTGTATTTCTTCCATCAGCTATTGTGGTATGAGAGTTCCACTAAGACATGGGCACGTTCCAAAAACAACATGTGAATAAGGATTTCTGTGTTTTTAAGACCTGACCCAAAATATTTATTTATCCAGAAGTTGAAATTCTCACGAGCAATGGGTGAAATTCTGAGGAGAGGAGATCTGCAGCAGGCCTGGACACAGCACTGAATCTCAGGGCAACAAGTGCTTTAATAGAGGCAATTAAAGATAAGCCATAAACAAACTGAGTGTCAGCAGAAATTAAGGTAATTTCATAACTTGCATCAGTTACTTTTATATCAGAAAGAAGTGAGAATGAAAGCACAGGTACACTTAAATAATAATAGTGATTCCTACAAATCCTGGAATGACTTACTACTGACAATGCAGTTATGGATTGCTAATGGCAAACAGGAGATCCACAGCTTCCCAGGAGGCTTATTCCCCCACTGCAGGACACAAATAATTCCCATTGACTTCAGTGCCTTTCCTGCCATGAAGGACTAGGAAATTATTGGCTTCAGTGGGAGCTATGAATAACTGGCATGAGGAAAATGGAACCCTAAAGAAATAAATTAACAATTACTCTATTTCTTAAATCTATTTCAAATATTTCTCTCTATGTCAGCTGGAAAAAAAACCCCACAGTGAGCTCAAACATCCCCATCCACAGAAACTAAAAATTCTAGCAGCATTGATAAATAAATATATATGGTCAGTGTAGAGCAGAAGTAGCAACAAAGCCATAAGAAGCTGAAAGATTTCTCGTGAAAGAGGTTCTCTGTGAAGCATTTGCCTCCTGGGGAGATCTCACCAGCTCACAGCCCAGAAGCCTTCCCTCTGTAGATGTGACAAGATTCCCCCTCTAACACTGTGTAGTCATCTCGCTGTAGCTGTGTGCTTTGTTTCATTCACCACTGAAGAGCAATTACATTTAAAAATCCACCCAAAGAATAAGCTCTATTTTTTGATAGTTGTGTGCTTAAATTCCCACCCTGCCCACCTGGATCACCCGTCTCACAGTATTGCTGGTGTAGAAGAGGAGAAGGAAGAAATGTTCTTTGAGAAGCATATTTGGAGAAAATTCCTTGCTGTAGAGGAGACATGAGGGCTAATATTTAATCTGGAGGACCAGCAGATGGACAATCCCACAGCTGCTGGCCTACCTAGTCAAGTGGATCACATTCCCACAACAGGAGAGTGTTCTCCAGAACCCAGTGAAGTGTGCATGTTTGGCAGCCCAGTGAGCAAACACAGGACAGAAGTGCAGTTCTTACCACATCCTTGCAGACATCAAGCTGGGACAACTCCCAGGGACAGGAATTGGTGCCAGAGGATCTGCACCAGTGCAGCAACTGGTATTGAAGGAGACCTTGTTGCAATCTCCATTGGAATGGCAGCACTGAAGGAATCACTCCTGGAAAGAGGAATTAATTAATTACTCTCAGATGTCCTGGGAACTTTCCCACTGATGTCAGTGAAACTTTGGGCATAGGTGAGGGAACAAACTCCAGAAGGCAGGGATTTGCAACAGGAGGAACACAAGACTATGAGCAAGGTATTTGCTAGAATTGCTTTGCCTTTGCTGTTGAAGAAAGTGTGGACAGCCTGTATGACTAAGTAATACAGGTTCTGCTGGAAGGGGATGAAGTAAAGATGCAGTTTAGTAAAGGATTTAGAAGGAAACAGGGAAAAAAAGGGAGGCTTAATTATCTATTTTTTTTAAACACACCTGCCACTCAGTTATTCCCTAAAGTTCAAAAAGAAAGTATCCTTCCAGAGTATTTTCATGGGCCCCAAGGCCAGGCAGTTGCTAATCTGGATGAGTCAAGAGCATCCACTAAGGAGGAAACAACAGCAGGAAGCATGGAAATCATCTCAGACTTCCCTTGGCTTTACTGATTTAATAGGGAGACCCCACCTACACATTTAATGGGGTCACAGCCATAACCCGAGGCTACAGGGTATACAGATCCCTGATCATTCCAGTACAGTAAGGAGGTACACTTCTGGTTAAATTCACAAACAATGCTGAATAGCTACAGGAGATTACCAGGACCTCCCACTTCATGGAAACAGTGACTGTTTACATAATATGTAATGACAGTAAATCATAACAAATCCTAGGAGAAAACTCCACTGAGAGATAAAACAACATGACCTTCTGATTTTTCTTCTTTTCTCAGTCTTACAATCCATGTCTTTATTCCTTCATCCTGCAAGGATTTCTGCAAATGCTTAACTTTCACTACATCAGGAGGCCCACAGGTTTCAATTAGTCTAATTAGGTGCAAAAAAAAATAAGTGCATGCTTAAGAGAATGTCCTTTTTCCCCTTTGCTTGTGCAGTGCCTGATGTGATGGGATCCCTCTCTACAGCTTGAGCTCTCTGCCACTGTGGTGTCAAAAATACACCACGTTCCACTTGGCAAGGTTAAACAATTAACATTCTAAATTCAGGGCTGGTATTAAGTAGCAGCACTATTGATCTCCATTATTGTGCTGAGCTGGACCAGCTGAGGAGCAGACTCTGCTTAAGGTGATGAGTAGTTTGCAATATGCAAAGGAACTAAACAAATATTTTCCGGGAGGAAAAATTTCCAACAGGACAACTGGTTTCTGAAATTCATCCGACAGTTGAGTTTTATTCCTGAAGAATGTCCTGCATGAGAAATTCTCATGCTATCCTTTGCTATATTATAATACAACATAGCTTTTGCAAGACAAACAGACTTCATTACTTTTCCCCTGGGAACTCCTCCATGTTCTTCTTGTGCATGTTCATGTGAGCAGATCCATAATTACACAACCAGAACTCAGATTTGCTTAAAATGAACCAGCCTAGCTTTTATTCCCTGACAGGACACTCCTGTGAAAAAAATACATATTTCCTGCAAAGACATGGGTGTCAAGGCAAGGAAAAAGGAATATTAAAAAGAAAATTTGTTTCTCTTCATCTCTAGTATTTACTTGTGCTGCAGCTGCATTGGGAAGCCAACGTGTCAGACTGAAAGCCAGTTTGCTAGGTGTGGTACCAACATGTGGAAAAACAGACAGGATCTACTCCTGAAGCTTTCCATCAGAATGTGTCTGCATTACATTACATCACAGGACTTTTAAGGGAACAGAATATAGAATCACAGAATGGTTTGGGTTGGAAGGAACCTTAAAGACCATCTCGTTCCAACCCCCCCAAAGGTGGACAGGGACAACTTCCACTAGAGCAGGTAGCTCAGAGCCCCATCCAACCTGGTCTTAAACACTTCCAGGGATGGGGCAGCCACTGCTTCTCTGGGAAACCTGTGCCAGGGCCTCACCACCCTCACAGGGAAGAGATTTTTCTAATATCTAATCTAAACCTACTCCCTGTCAGTTTGAAGCCATTCCCCCTTCTCCTGTCACTACAAGCTCTTGTAGTTGCTACAAGCTCCCGAATTGCCTGTAGCAGATGTGCAAGGCTTGGGACAAAAGGTCTGCCTGCATGGCCAGGGGCTGCAGGAATGCAAACCCCTGTCAGTGCTACAGGAGGTGATAGACATGTCAGTGCTAGAGGAGGGGATGCACATCCTGGGAGCACTGTCTGGATCCTTCTGCCATCCCAGGATGTCCAGCACAGACAGGCTGGAGAGCCCTCCTGCAGAGTGTCCCCACCCTGGCAGTGGTGAGGAGAGGGTTCTGGATACTCTTTTAACGTTATTAGGGATTTAATCATCCAACAAACGAACAAAATTCAAAACTAGGATTCTCACATGTAAATCACTCCACTTCAGGGCTTGCCCAGCTTCCATTCATAAGGCAGCTTAAAGATCTCCTGGAAAACAACAGGCTTTAATGACCACAAGTCCTTGTGCTCTGGAGTGTGGGCTACAGCAACTAATAATAGATGAAGGTTTACATGTTTTTCTTGTGTTTCTGCTGGGGCTGCTGTGTCATTAATTCAGCTTGTGCCTCGCTACTTATGTTAAACATTCCCTTTGTGGCTTTCTCTAAATCTTAAATTTTGCATGTGACCACACGTAAATGTAAATGTGTATTTTTTATGGTCCTGTAATCTCGGTGCTTTTAAACCCCAATTGCCTGAAGGCATACAGGGAGCTGAAGCAGAAAAGCTTGGTCAGTTTGTGATCATTTAGAGCCAGTTTATTTGCTCTTTCTGAGTGGATTCAGTTCCTGTAGAGGTTTTTGCCTTTAGTGTAATAGAGTAAAGATAAGATCTAGGAACCTAATTAACCCTGCAGGGCCTGTGAACAAGGCTCATTAGAAAACAGTCAAACACATTTATGTTTAAATACCTTATTTACAGGAATTCATATCATATTTCTGAACAGCAGATACACATGCCACTCACTCATCCCTTTAACCAATGCCAACCGTTTCCTTAAATGCAGCTGAAAAATGGACCAACTTGGAGCTCAAAGTCATCCTGGACTGTGCATGTAAATAGCCTATACTTTGAAAGACTATCCAGAATAAATGAAAATCCTGTTTGCAGGGCACTGTAAACTACAGTGTTCTTTCACCTGCACCCCAAAACCAGCGCAAATGTTCCACAAAACCAGTGTCATTGCAGCCCACATCCTGAACAGTAAACACCACTCTGAAGCAATTCCTCTGGGGACTTTCCCATCTGTCCAAGGCGGTGACAATAAGATACATGTGATCACAGGCATCTCTGGGGACTTCTGGAAAGACTTCATAAGGACTCAGAGTAAGGTTATTAAAAACCTCGTTCTGAGGTCGCTTCATATCTCTGTAAATATCCTGGGTCAGACAGCAACAAACACAGGCCCCAGCACTCAGTGCCCATGAATATACATGTACTTGTCATACAGGTTATCTGGGAGCAAAACTATCCCCAGCAATTCTGAACTCTCCTTTTTTCCTGACCTTTCATTCCTTCTACCCCCACCCCTCATCACAGAGAGAGCAGAAAAGCTAAGCCAAGAGAGATCTGTGGAAAATATCTGATGTGTTGGTGCATTACTGGGTGTAGCTCTCACTAGGTATTGTGTATGTAGTGGCTTAAAAGCCAGGAGAATTATTCTTGCTTCTCATGACACTTTGAAGGGCAGCCTCGATTCACAATTAGGTCTCCTCAGTACTTAACTTTGTTGTAAGTGACTGCCTGACCAGTGAGTAGGATAAATGATGCCACTGGGACTGAAATGTATCTTAAAATTAATCTTTTGCTTAATGGTTTTCCTGGAGAAGGATGGGCTTTAATACAAATTTAAGGGCATTTTCTGCTGCAAGGCTTGTGGGATTGAAGATCCCATCACAGAGAGATTCTGAGCAAGACAGGTCTACTTTGTGTCATGGATATTTTAAAATCATAGGCACTATAAATTTAATTTATTTCTAAATTCACAATTGGTAAAAGCAAGCAAACCTTTACGCTGTAAGTTCTTCAGGAAAGGATTGAGTTTTGTTTGGGATTTATATGGTATTTAATACAACATGAACCAGTCTAGGACTGGGGCAACTGTGCTCTAATGCCATACAAATGAAAATAATTGTGGTTTTTAAAAAAACCTTAGCTTAAAGTTCTGCTTCAAAGGCCTGAAAATAATAATTTATTCGCCAGTTTAAAAGTGTGCTGTTTTAAAAAAGACAAAACCTCGACCGCTTCTATAAGTAGATCCATAATTTATATTTTGAATCACTTTGGCAAGAGGAAAATCCCAAATCAAGTTACTCTTCAACCTGAACTAATAAATCCTGTCTTGACATGACTTCTTTTTTTCAGTGCTTCATTTTCAAGGAGTCATGTGGTGTTTTAATAATCAGTCTTGTTGTTTTCTCTTCATCCTATTCACCAAAGCAGCGATAACTGCAAAAGCATCTCAGGCAACTCAGATGCAGCACTGAGAAATATCTCTGTGAAATCAGGCTTAATGAGATATCAAAATATTACATCTGCAAGTCTTGGCTGCTGGACAGTACTTCGGAAAGCAAAGCCAGTTTCCCCAGTCCAGATTAGTCAACATCAGGTTCCTTGGTCTAACATTTCACAAAATATTTTCCCACATATGTCCGACTGCATTTTGAAGGGTGTAGCTGACAACATAAATGTGCCCTAAGGTGAAAATCCCGAAACATTTCCCTCCGGGATCTTTGTGTCTGGACATTACCAATGCAGATGTCTGTAATCAGGAGATCTCTATGGACCCGCTAATTATTCCCTGGGCTTTTCCACTGGCAATAAAAATCCCATTTGTCGCAGCTTGTTTGCAGAACTGCTCCCATTTCCACAGTGGTGGCATTAATTAGCAAAAACCTGTGAAAATTGTTGGAGTTTATAGGTTCAAAAAAAAAAAAAACAAAACCCACCAAAAAACCACTAAGCATCGCTCCTAAATATTCCTATAAATCCAACCATGGCAACAAGTCCTGAAAGTCCAACTCTCTCAGTTGGAGCAATTTTTCATGCTTGTAGCAATAAGTGGGAAATAATGGGGGTCTCAGATTCCCATTAGGAAAGTTGCTTCTGTGACCTCTTCATGCAGATGGATGGTGAATTTCTCAGATAATAAATCAAAGTTTCCTGATGGTGCAGTGGCATCTCTTGCTGGGGCCTGTAGAGCTGCTGGCTGCCTTCTATTCAAAGGCAGCAGGCCCCTGCCCGGCAGGAATCTTTCCCTACAAATCCCTCCATCACCATCAGGAGATATTAGGCCCTCTATAAACTGCCCAGGCATTTTGGGGAACAGCCAGCATCCCGCTGGGAAATGGACACTTTTCAACTTCATTGACATCTGTCACACATGCAAAGAATAGAAAGCCATCAGGAAAAAAAAGCCACATTATGACTTTCCCATCAGCAGGGCCAGTTAAGTCTTTGTTCTTAAAAAAAAAAAAAAGGTATTTAAAAGGTTCTTGGGAGCTACCTTGCTTAATAGTATCTTTAGGAAGAGAATCTCACCTTTGGGCTTTAAGGACCAATGGAATGTTTCTCTCTTTCTCCATACTTTTTGCATTCAGCTAACTTCCCTGTAGGAATTTCAAGCAGAAAAAAAAAAATAGCTGTGATGCTGGTTTTTCCATGCAGTTTTTATTAACTTTCTTCCGAATAAGTCCCTGCAAGGAAAACGACACCGATTTTTATTATCAGAAATATATTTATTAAGTGACAATCTAACTCCCAGAATAGCAATCCATTCTTTTTTTTTTTTTTTTAGACTTCAAGCTTTTTTCCCAAATGACCTTAAAATAAGCATGGGAAAGCAGTACTGTAAATACAGTATTGAATTTTAAGTGAATATACTTTTTTCCCCTCCGTGTATTGCCTATATTAAACACCATGTGGGGGATAGGGCTGTTAATTATTAACATAAGGATAAAACTGAAGGTGATGTTCTCTTGCTATTTATCATAATTTAAGTGTCTAAAACACGGGTGACAAAACTTCAGTAGGAATTTCCCCTGCTCTGAGTGTGATGCATATACACAACTACTTTTTCAGGTCCTTCTTTAGGCAAGTATTTCTCCAAAAATGCAGTAGATAAAGGCACTTTTAGGGAAGCAGGAATTTTCAGCTGTAGCTCTGGCACACTACGGACCGTGGACCTGTTTTTGGGACTTGGTTGCTTCAAAAGCTGATGATGCCTAATGTAAGTGCTTTTATATGGCATTATAACACCTAATGATAAAAAGAATTTTTAATTGCTTTTGCACTTATCCCTGAAGTCAATATAAACTATTCGTGCTGGGTTTTCCCTGCTGACTTCAACAGAGTAAAAGTAGTTTATATAATGCTGACTGAAAACAGGATTTGGCCAACTGGCTTCAATCTTTTTTACTAGTTCTACCCAAGTCAACTCAATCCTACCCTGAGGTGAAGCAAGCAGGACTGGCACATTTTTTTTTTTCAGAGACGTTGTTGATCTTGATCCAGCAGAAGGATGGCAGATAATGCACTTACCCAAAGAAAAACTGGGATAAAAATCTTAACCTGCCTGCCCAGCTATAGTGACAAAGCCCTGGTTCTGCAGAGGCTCGTGGGGAAAGGGATTTAGCTGCTGGTGGCTGGACAAAGAGGAGCAGTGACAGGCTGGGATCATCAGTCATGGTGCGAGGGATGCAGTTTAAGATGGGATGAGTAAAGGGTAAGGTGGGCTTAGAAAAGGGTCCTGGTGAGGCTTAGAGCAGAGCACTAAGCCCCAAACCAGCTGGTGAGCTGGTTCCCCAAAGCAGAGTCATACAAATGAGTCACACCTGCCTAAAGCCATTCCCACAGAGCCATGAAGGGCAACCCACTAATGGAAAGCAGTCGGGATCCCTCCATTGGGTGATAGATTTTAAATAGCCCTTTCCTCCCCTCTACAAGAAAGCCTTTTTCTGAAGGCTGAGCCTGACTGAGCAAACTTAGCAGCAATATCAAATTTACCAGTCTTCAGAGTTTTAATGGAAAACACTATCAAATTCTGTTGGGCAGAAAATGTGCTTTTCATGAAGAAAACCTCTTTGTTAAAAATTAACTTACCACAAGCATTAACACAGTGTTTAAAAGACTGGGCTCATTCTGAACACCTTAAAACAAAATAACTACAACATTCCAGAAATAGGTTTCCATTCAGTCAGGAGTTTAACAGTTAAATACCTTTAAAGGTCCAAAGTTTAATGATTCAGACCCTGGAATGACTTTTTAAAACTGCCTAATTCTACTAAAGCGTGCAATTTTTATAGCAAATGGGCTTTTCTGAAATAAAGCTGCAAATTTCATCTTTCTTATTGTGATTTCATGGACTGCTCACAGAATGGAGTTCACTGCACACTTCAGGTCTGGGAACAGGGAGCTCAGTTTATCAGTTTATCACCCCCAGTCCTACCAGTGCTCAGAGCTCAGGTTTGAAGCACAGGACAACCCAAGGAAGTATTTAACATACACTTCATGCTCGAGGATGCAAACAGTGAAACCAAAGTCAAAGAGTCTGTTTGAAGGCTTAAAACTACTCACAGCTTCCAGCATTTCGATGGAAGAGCCTAAAGTAGTCCCTGGTTCACTGGATCAAACTCTGATGAAAGGGATAAAGATGTAAAATTAAAAAATCAAGCCAAAAGCAGCACTGAAGGCAGTCAGTGGAATTCCCAGTTCATCCTAAAGCTATTCCACAGAAAACATTAAAAATGTCAATGCTTTAATTACGTATTGACTCTACTTTCAAAAAGGGAAATGATCCAAAACAATTTCAAAATTATCTTTCTGTTTTCAAACACAGTTTAAAGAGTGCAAAAGTGAGATTTTTCAAAGTGTTGTTTTGTTTTCTGTTTATTTTCTGGGAACTGTCAAATAAACTATTGTGCTTCTCCTCCTTGTCTCATGTTGTATCTTTCTCTGATCAGCTGGACCTAACTCTATGTAGAGGGAATTTTACCACTGAGATTTGAAACAATCTAGATATTCTGAAATATAAATATTCTAGAAGTGTCCTGAGCAATCTGCAAGTACCTACATATAGTAAAGAAGTGCATTTAACACTGACAATCAGTTCACAGCTAAAGGTAAACAGTACAAATTCTGAAACACAGGCATTTATGGTTTTTGCTTTTACATCATCAGGTTCTCTTTCAATCATTATAATACAGCTTCAGAAAGTACTGATACTATTGTTCCCATGTGACCTGTATATAGAATCTGCCAACCTTCTTTTAACTATTGTCTTATTTTCCTCTGGGTTCTTGTTTTTTAGGAAAATCCCACAGAATGCTGAACATGCCTTACTGTCACTCAAGCACATTTAAAAGCTAAGGGACGTTATCTCCTCTCCCCAGATCAAATAATCTTTCCCCTGTAAATATGTTTAACGTTTTAATACTCCTTTCACACATTAAAAAATCTGGCAATCTTTACCCCAGGCTGAAGAAAATGTGAATTCTTCATACTCTGCTGCTGTAAAGGGGAAAATTCCTTCATCCTGTGACATTTCCCCGTGGCAGTTACTGCAGCAGATAAGGTAATGACCCAAGATTTGCCAGGGGACTGCCCCACACTGTGACTTGCAGCTTTGCAAAGGCCACACGGAAGGTTTCATTTGTCTCATTAACTTTCCCACTGTACCAATCAGAAGTTTATGATACAGTATTTTTCTCTTTTTTAACTTTTACAGTTCATATACCTCGGCAGGAGCCTGGGCACACTGACCCAGGACGCCCCTTCCAGTCCCACATTCCTCTGAGATTGCAGGAAAACAAATCACAAAAGGTCCAAAGCAGTATTTTTACAAACTCTAGATGAGATGAAGCACCAGAATGGAACATAGAATTACAACAACAACCTTCAAGGTAATAGGACAGACACAAACCGTGTTGTGTTGTATATAAACTATACAAATAATAATAAACTATACAAACTTTTCCACTTGATTTCCTAAGGAAATAAGGCTTATGCAGCCACACTGTCTGTCTGTTCCTGTCTGTCCCTAATAACATTCAAACCCACTGCCCCATTGCAATGCAAGTTGTCAGGGGAGAAGCAAAAGATTTGGAGATAATTATGTTCCTACAGCTCTTGTCATTGCACAGAGGACAGAGACCTAAATTAGTGCCCCCAGCTGAGGAAAATCCCCTGGAAGGTGTGGGATCAATGGCTACTTGTCCAGCCTGTACAAACAGCTTATTTCCAGCCTTCCAATCAGCACATGTGGGGCTCCACAGCACATGCAGCGGGAGCTGCCTCTTGCCCTTCTGGCCATGAGTGGACCTGGGGGGCTCATGAAGGTCCCCGGGAAGTGCATGGGAGACCAAGAATATGGTTCCATGGAAAACAGAGCTCCTGCTGGTCATGGAACAGCTCCTTATAATTTTCTCACAAAACAAACAGGATAATATCTGATTTTAATTCCCTTGGCTGGACTATCCCTGCTCTGTCAGTTCTTCCACTGGCCTCCAAGGGCTAGGAATCCAGGACACAGGCATTCAGGAATGCTTGGTCATACTACTGGCTGCATTTTTCATTTGAGATAGAGAAATTTATTACTGGGATCAGGATTCCCTCAGCCCTTCCAGAGCCTCTTCTAGAGAGGGCATGTCTTATTCTCCCAACCTTCCAGTAATTCATTAAACCATATAAGTCCCTGCTGTCATGCAAGGTTTGCTCTTTCTCACACTACAGTTAAATCTACCTAATTTTATTCTTTTGCCACCCCTTGCTTGAGGGTGTCCTTTGGAACCAGTTCATCTTCTGCAGTCACCTTCCTTCCCCCCACACCCCACTGCCTTCTCTCGTTATTCCCAGACCCCAGGCACTAATCCTGCCCTACTCTGGGGCGTTCCAGACACCTGTTAAACTCATGCTAAGTGGAAAGCAAGATGAGAAGACACTCCTTGAAGCTGTGCTGCTGACATGCATCATATGGAAAAATTTTGGGAAAGAGGCTGACTTCAGCATCCTGTGGAGCATTCTAAATCCTGTCGGTGCACTTGAAAAAAAAAACCCTAAATATTTTAAATTAATATGTCTGGGTGCAAGAAAAATCACCCTGAAAAAAGGACTAATGCTCTGAAAAACATTTGACACGGTTTCCAAGCCACTAAGAAAGTCAAATACAGCAGATAGTGCAGCAACTTGAGATCTGAGCAGGAGAAAAAGAAAACTTCAATCCAAATGTACTTTGAAGTACAATACTTACAGATCCAGCAAGGTCTGACCTCTGAAGTTTACAGCTATTAAGTATTTACACACAGGGAGGAAGAAGAGATTCATTGCTTGTGAGATAAACAGAACACTGATGCCAAGCCAGGGAGTCTTTTAAAAGTCAGATCAATTCAGTCAATAAATTAATGACTGTGATGCTTTACACACTTGGGATGGAAAGCTTCCTCCCCTTCCAAGTTATCTGACACTTTGCTGAGGAATTATAATGTGCATAAAGGTTTCCTAGAGACTGTGATTTTGAAGAAGATTTACACTTTTACTCTTTGCTAAAAGAGAGATGTAGTCATATTTTTAAAGGATTCACCAGCAGACCTTGTTTTTAGCAACTGGTTAACCATGCTGCCAGCAGAGCATTACTCTTAAGAATTAATGAATGAATAGTGTTGTTAAAATCGTTTTTCTCATGAAGCAAAAATGAAACTGC